TGAGAGTTTCTCTTTGGTCTTAAAAAATTGTTTCTATTTCTTGGTTAAATTTCTAACTTTGTTCCTGAATTGTTTTCCAAGTTTCATTTAGTTTTCTATCTGTATTTTTTTGTAATTCCTTTAACTTTTAAAATAAGATTATTCTGAATTATTTGTCAATCATTTTATAGATCTTCAGTTTTTCTGAATCCATTACTGAAAGTTTTTTGCTCTTTTTTGGTGGTGTCATATTTTCCTGAGTTTTTACAAGTCTTGCATTTTTATTTTGATGTCTGCACATTGAGCTTTTGCAGGTGTTTTTGACAGTGTTAGGCCTTTACTGCTTAATATTAGAACTTAATCACTGGTCTGCTCTTGCTTCTCAGTCTGGGCAAGACTTATAGTGAGAACTGGAAATTAAATGGTGCACTGGAAATAAATCACTGCCCTGTTGTTTTCCAGTCTGTGGAAGACTTATAGTGAGCCCTGTAACTTCAACACTGCTCCAGAGCTATGTTGCTGCCCTGCCATTGTTCTTCAGTTACAAAAACTATTAATAGAAATAGTTTGTATTTTTAAGTGAGCACCAGAACTTAAATGCCAAACATGTAGATGTTTCCAGGTCAGGAGAAGGCTTCACATGAATATGTGGACTTTGTGGGAAATCCAGCCAGGCATTTGGTCCTTCCTGTGTATTGTGTCTTCTTCAGAACTGTGGGCCATCCACTTTACTCAATGTGATATCTTCACTAATTGGAGCACAGAACACCTACAAAAATTCACATGCCAGTCAATGTAATTAGAACCTTCCCTTTTTGACCACAGTTCATCCCAGGTGGTTCAGTCCTCCCAGCAATTTAAATGTTCCATGAGACAAGACTGGAGTGAGCTTCCTGTGAAGATTCTACAACCAGTTGGGAGATTGAACATTCACCTCCAATTTCCTCCTCCCACCCTGGGAACCATGTGTCTAGGGAAATTCTGTGAGTGGTGTTAGGTCTGCTTTAAAGTGATTATTCATCTTACCAGTATCAGGTTTTCTTGATTCTGTGTCTCCTAGAAGTTTCTCCACTTCTCCCTTGAATTTTGGTGAATTCAGGGTAGTATTCTTGTCTTTGAATAATTTCTAGTTGTATTTTTTTTCTAGGGGAAGCGATGCTGGGAGATCTTCTATTCTGCCATCTTACTTACATCACTCTGTGATTTTCCTGGTTATTTATCTTTTAGGTTTCTTTGTGATTGTTGCAGTTTCTGTGCTTGCTTCTCATGCTGGTTGGATTATTATTAATTTTTGAATGGGACCTTCTAAATAGTAAAGTGATTAGTGGAATGTATATGTGGGGTAGATTGACGGAGGACGAGATTTTGTGGGAAAATTGATAGATTCTGTCCAGGCTTGGTGTCATATTATTAAATCTTTTTTTGTTGTTGTTAAAGAAGCTATTGCAACTCACATATGTGTCTTTTGTCTGTTGCAGTTTGGCACTATCTTCCTCCCTCTATTTTTAGCTGTTTTTACTGTCAGCATCCCTAACTTCTATTAGGAATCTCTGTTTCAAACAATAGAAATGGTCCATCAGTGTAGTTTCTTCTTCAACTCTTCTTTCTTAGCACCCTAAATATGATTACCACTATAAAGGCATATTAGGCATGCCTTTCAGTGATGACACTTTGGAGGAAAACCTGTGTACTGTTATAGGTTCAAGACAGCATGACTATTATCTCTTAGTGTTCTCCAAAGCCTTGTGCCAGATTTCATGACAGTACTTTTAGTATCAGGGGGCTATGGAAATATTCTTACTTTTTTTCTTTTGTTTCTGGGGGTTTTATAGGAAAAATGAGGGCAAAGGGGAGCTTTATTCTGTCATCTTCTTAAGGATTTAAAAATAGAAAATAACCAGAGATTTTGTAAGATTACGATATGACTTTCTGACTTTGAGTACTTTGGAGATTACTAAGAACATAGTTTAAATACTTATAGTAACCATCTGTTTTTAGAAAAAAACCATAATGCTCTAGATCTCCAAAGTGATCTGGTGAGGAATAAACATATATACTATGTAATCCAAAATTGCTTTTCCATCGTCCTAGATCAGAAAGAGATACATTGGTGGGTAAATGATCATATTTTCCAAGGAAATATACCAGTGATTGGCCCTTAAATTGCACCCATATATTAGAATTAATCCTTTTCTAAAGACAGATAATTTTCTTGTAGTCCTAGCTGAAGATTTGTCCTTCAAACATGAATATAGAAGTCTTAAACTATCTGCAAATATTTTGAAATTTTGAAAATTATTGTAAATATCTAGATTTCTAGCTTCTTTGGGGAATTTAGAACACCTGAGAATATCTGTCATGCATTTGTAGTGGTAAGAATAATGGTGTTTTTTTTTTTTTAAATAAAACAGGTACTCTCCATTTCACCTTGCTCTTTATGCCATCCCTATCATCACCAGGCTCATTACACTCATATTACATACTCAGTCTCAGTAGATATTTGAGTTTATTAGTTGGAGAACAGATTTCGGAAACTAAAAGAATCAATTCATTCCAGGCTTTTATATTTAATAACTATGTGGCCTTCCACAATATGCATAATATCAATAAGTTCTATTTCCGTCATCTGTTAAATGGAGATAAAATACTTATTTTCTTCAATTATTATAATGATTAAATGAGATAATACTTCAAAAGTACTTAGTATAAAAGGTGGCATGTAGTAGCTATTTTGTGTGAATTTGAAATTATTTAACATATTTGTATCCAATTGAATAATTAGCATGTTAAATTGCAAAGTAAATAAGGTTAGATGATTAGATGATTGGGAGGTAAAATATCTCTAATTAGTACTATGTACTATACTTCTGTCTCGAACAAAATGTTAGGGTTTTTGTTGTTTTTTACTGTATGTACTTTTTTTACTTTTTCAGCTTCTATCTTAGAAGCAGCTGGTACACATGCAGATTTGTTACAAAAGTATATTGTGTGATGCTGAAGTCTGGGGTATGACGGAATGCGTCACCCAGATAGCATAATACCCAAGAGGTCATTTTACTCCTGCTTCCTCCCCCTTTTAGTATTCCACAGTGTCTATGGTTCCCATCTTTATGTCCATGTGTACCCAATGTTTATCTCCCACATATAAGGGAAGAGATGCAGTATTTGGTTTTCTGTTTCTGCATTAGCTCCCTCAGGATAATGGCCTCCAGCTGCATCCATGTTGCAGCTGGAGACATGATTTTGTTCTTTTTAATGGTTATATATTATTCCATGGTATATATGTACCACATTTTCTATATCCAGTTCACCATTGATGAGCACCTACTGTTGATTCTGTGTCTTTGCTATTATGAATGGCACTGTGGTGAAAGTATGGATGCATGTGTCCATTTGGTAGAACAATTTATTTTCCTTTGGGTATATAGCCAGGAATGGATTGCTGAGTCAAATGGTATTTCAACTCTTTCTTTGAGAAATTTCCAAACTGCTCTCCAAGTGTTTAGACTAGTTTACATTCGCACCAACAGTGTGTATGTGTCCCCTTTTCTCCACAGACTTGCCATCTGTTTTTATTTTTTATTTTTTAGTAATAGCCATTTTGAGCCAGGTGTGGTGGCTCATACCTGTAATCCCAGCACTTTGGGAGGCCAAGGTGGGTGGATCACTTGAGGTTCAGGAGTTCAAAACCAGCCAGGCCAACATGGTGAAATCCTGTCTCTACTAAAAAAGAACACACACACACACACACACACACACACACACAAATTAGACAGGTATGGTGGCGTGTGCCTGTAATCCCAGCTACTCCAGAGGCTGAGACAGGAGAATCACTTGAACCTGGAGGTGGAGGTTGCAGTGAGCCAAGATCGTGCCACTGCACTCCAGCCTGGATGACAGAGTGAGACTCCGTCTCAAAATAATAAAAATAGGCATTCTGACTGGTGTGAGATGGTATCTCATTGTGGTTTTAAATTGCATTTCTCTGATGATTAGTGGTGTGGAGCATTTTTTCATATGTTTCTTGGCCACTCGTATATCTTCTTTTGAGACGTTTCTGTTTATGTCCTTTGCCCCACTTTATAATGGAGTTGTGTTTTGCTTGTTGGTTTAAGTTCCTTATAGATTCTAGACCTTTGTTAGATGCATAGTTCATGAATATTTTTCTTTTTATTCTGTAGGTTGTCTGCTCTGTTGGTAGTTCCTTTTGCTGTGCAAAAGATTTTTAGTTTAACTAGATCCCATTTGTCAATTTCTGTTTTTGTTGCAATTGCTTTTGAAGACATAGCCATACATTCTTTGCCAAGGCTGATATTGAGAAGGGTATTTACTAGGTTTTCTTCTAGGATTGTTATAGTTTGAAGTCTTACATTTAAATCTTTAATCTTCTTGATCAAATTTTGTATATGGTAAAAAGCAGGGGTCCAATTTCGTTCTTCTGCATATGACTGGCCAGGTATCCCAGCATCATTTATTGAGTAGGGAGTCCCTATTGCTTATTTTTTCTGGGTTTCTCGAAGATCAGATGATTGTAGGTATGTGGCTTTATTTCTGGGTTCTCTACTCTGTTCTGTTGGTCTATGTGCCTGTTTTCCTATCAGTACAATGCTCTTTTGGTTACTGTAGCCCTGTAAAATAGTTTCAAGTTAGGTAGTATGATGCCTTCAGCTTTGTTCTTTTTGCTTAGAATGGCTTTGGCTATTAGGCTTCTTTTTTGCTTCACATGAATTTTAGAATAGCTTCTCCTAATTCTGTTAAAAATGACACTGGTAGTTTGATAGGACTCCATTGAACCAGTAAATTGCTTTGGACAGTATGGCCATTTAATGACATTGATTCTCTCAATCCATGAGCAGGGACTGTTTTTTCATTTATTTGTGCCATTTCTGATTTCTTTCAGCAGTGTTTTTGCAGTTCTCCTTGTAGAGATCTTTCACCTTCTTGGTTACATGCATTCCTAGGTGTTTCACAAAATGTTAGTTTTTTAAATCAATGACTTTGTCAATCTGTTATTCTTACAGTTACAAATGAAGCAGCCTCAGAACTTCCAAATACAGCAGAAAATCTTCCAGCAGTGTACCCATCAATTAGCGAGCTAATAATTCGACTGGATTTAAACAAAGTGGTCGGTAAGTACAGATTTATGTTTGGATACAGTAGAACACAATCTAAGAATTAAAATATTTCAACTGTATAGTTCTGTTAAAAAACAGGAAATTCAAAGAAAGAGTAGTCTTTCTCAACTTAATAAGTTCATTCTACTCAATCTGTCTACATGTCAATTAAGTGTATATTTAAATTACGTGTTTTTACTCCACTAGACAACATTAGTTTTGTAATGTTTCATATATTTCCCTTTACCTACTCATGAAACAAAATACATATAGGCTTTCCACTACTGTGAATTTTCATAACATAAACTAGATGCTATATGAACAGCTCCTTGAGGACATAGTTGTCATTTCTTATACCATCTTTTGTATAGCAAGATGGAAAGACAAATGGAACTAGTACCATATAGACAATATGGCTGCCTTGTGATGTGCTTATTATTAAATTGGCAATATCAAATGGTGAAAAAGATCGTCAGAATGGGGAAGAAGCTAGAATATGTGCGAAACTAGTGGTAGTGTGGTTAAGCGACTATTTTCTAATAAGATATAACCAAAGTGTTCTCTGGTAGCTTTCAAATCACTCCTTAAAGGCAACAGGCAAACATAAGCAAAATGGCAAACTGAAAACATCCAAACTCTCATTCCCTGACAGAAACATTGAAAAAAATTAGAATAATCTATCAGAACCAACTTTGTCAGAGCTCCAGAAAATAGTCACAGATTTTTAGCATCCAAGAGAATACCTAATTAAGAAAAGTTTACCTTCAAAATGGTAAGAAAGTTTTGTGGAACTGTCAAAAGAGTGCTCCAGCAAAAGCCAATATGAAAATCTCCTGGCAATCATGGCATTAATAGTAGACCTGCCCTATTAAAACTTCTAGACTGGGCACGGTGGTTCACCCCTGTAATCCAAGCACTCTAGGAGGCCGAGGCAGGTGGATCACGAGGTCAGGAGATCAAGACCATCCTGGCCAAAATGGTGAAACACTGTCTCTACTAAAATATAAAAAATTAGCTTGGCGTGGTGACACATGCCTATAGTCCCAGCTACTCGGGAGACTGAGGCAGGGGAATCACTTGAACCTCGGGAGACTGAGGCAGGGGAGGAGGAGGTTTCAGTGAGCCGAGATCACGCCACTGCACTCCAGCCTGGTGACAGAACAAGACACTGTCAAAAAAACAAACAGACAAAAAACCTTCTAAAGGGAATTCTTCAGGATAAATGAAAGAATGCTATACAGTAACTTCAACCACATGAGGAAATAAAGATCTCTGGCAAAGATAAGTCCATTGGCAAATATAAAAGCCATCATTATTATAATTTTGGCTTGTAACTCTATTCTTTGTATCTATAATACTCGAAAGACAAATACATAAAAATGATTACAAATTTATGTTATGGACACACAATGTATAAAGACATGATTTGTGATGTTAATAACAAGGATAAGTTAGAGGGTGCTGCATAAGAGTATACTTTTTGGATGGATTGAAGTTGAGTTGGTATCAATTCAAATTAAATTATTATAACTTTAAGACGTTATATATTATTTGCTTGGTAATCACAAAGAAAATATCTATGATGCATGCATGAAGAAAAGAGAAAGGAATCAAAACATGTTCCTACAAAAAGTCAACTAAACACAAAAAAGATGGAATTAGAGAAAATGAAGGGCAAAAAGTATAACATACAAAAAATAGGTATCAAAATGGCAGAAATGTCTTTCCTTATCAGTAATTATTTTAAATCTAAATTGACAAAACTCTTCATTCAAAAGGCAGAAATTTACAGAATGGATTTTTTTTTAATGATCAACTATATGCTGCTAACAAAAGATGCACTTTAGATGAACAAAAATGACAAAACTTTAGCTAGATTGACTATAGAAAAATAATACTCAAATTGCTAAAAATCAAAACAGAAAGTGGGAACATTACAACCAATTTTAAAAGAAGAAAAAGCATTGTAAGACAACACTGTGAACAACTGTACATGAAAAACTGGATAACCTAGAGGAAATGAACAAATTGATAGAAATATACAATCTACCAGAACTGACTTATGAAGAAATCTCTAAATAGACCCCTAATTAAGATGAATACTGAATCCTAATTAAAATTTTCCAACAAAGAAAAATCCAGGACCAGACGACATTATGGGTGAATATTACCAAATATTTGAAGAAGAATTAAAACTAATCCTCAAGTTCTTTCAGAAAACTGAAGAGGAGGGAATACTTCCTAACTCATTCTATGAGAACAGCATTATCCTGATACTAAAGTCAGAAATGCTATAAGAAAGCAAATGACAGACCAATATCCCTTATGAATAATGATGCAAAATCCTCAACAAAATATTAGCAAATAAAATTTAGCAGCATATAAAAATTATACAATGTGAATTTATGAGTTTTACTTCTCAAATGCAAGAATAATTCAATAGACAAAAGTCAATTAGTGTGATATACCATGTTAGCAGAATTAACAACAAAAAAACCCCACTGGATCCTCTTAGTTGATGCAGAGAAAGCATTTGACCAAATTCAAAAGACTTTCATGTAAAAACAGTAAACAAGCTAGGAATAGAGCCTTTCCCCACATCATGATGAAAAGCCAAATACAAAAAATCCACAGCTAACATAATATTCAATGGTGAAAGATTGAAAATGTTTTCCTTAAGATCAGGAGCAATACAAGGACACCTGTTTAGATAACTTCTAGTCAAAATAGTATTCAAAATCTATCTGGACCAGTTAGAATAGAAGATAGGTAGATGATAGATAGATAACATCCAAACTGGAAAGGAAGAAATAAAATTATCTGCCAAGAGGTGACATTATCTTATATGAAGAAAACCCTAATGATTCCACAAAACAACTGTTAGATCTAATAAACAAATTTAGTAAAGTTGCAGGATACAAAATGAGCACACAAAAATTGGTTACATATCTATGCACTGGTAGTGAGCTATCTAAAAAGAATTAAGAAAACAATTCCATTTATAATGGCATCAAAAGAACAAAATATTTCGGAATAAATTTAACCAAGAAGGCAAAAGGCAAAAGACTTGTATACTGAAAACTACCATATAATGCTGAAAACAATTAAGAAGATATAAATAAATGGAAAGATATCTCATGTTCATGGATTAGAAGACAACTTATTTTTTTTTTTAATTTTTTTTTTTTTGAGATTGAGTCTCGCTCTGTCGTCCAGGCTGTGCAGTGGCGCAATCTCGGCTCACTGCAACCTCCGCCTCCCAGGTTCAAGCAATTCTCCTGACTTAGTCTCCCTAGTAGCTGGGATTATGGGCACATGCCACCATGCTCAGCTAATTTTTGTATGTTTAGTAGAAACGGGGTTTCACTATGTTGTCCAGACTGATCTCAAACTCCTGACCTCAAGTGATTCGCCTGCCTTGGCCTCCCAAAGTGCTGGGATTACAGGCATGAGCCACCATGCCCGCCCAGAAGACAATATTATTGAGATGAAAGTAATACCTAAAGTGATCTACACCTTCAATGCAATCTGCAGTTCTTATCAAATTCCCATAACACTTATGAGGTTATTGTTGCAAAATAGAAAACCCTATCTTAAAAATCATAGGAATACAAGGGACCACACATATCCAAAACAATTATGAAAAAGGATAATAAATTTGGAAGTCTCACACTTCCTGATTTCAAAACTTACTATAAAGCTACGGCAATCAAAAGAGTGATATACTGGCATAAAGGAGACATGCAGACCAATGGTATAGAATTGAGAGACTGGAATTAAATCCTTGCTATATGGTGAAATAACTTTCAGCAAAGTTGCCAATACTATTTCCTGGGAAAAAGGCAGTCTTTTCCAAAAATGGTGCTTCCACAAAAAGACAGTCTTTTCCACAAACCAGATATTCACGTCAAAAGAGTGAAGTTGAATCCTTACCTTACATTATATATGGAAATTAAAATGGACCAAATACCTACATATAAGACCTAAAACCATAAAATCTCTGAGAGAAAAACAGGGAAAAGGCTTCCTGACGTTGAAGTTAGCAATTATTTTTGGGGTATGACTCCCAAAGCACAGACAACAAAAGAAAAAAATAGGTAATTTGGACTTCATCAAAATTAAAAACTTTTGTCATCAAAAGACAGTATCAGAGAGTGAAAGCACAACCCAGAGAGTGTGAGAAAATATTTCCAAATTACGTATCTGATAAGGACTTAATGTCTAGAATACACAAGGAAGTTTTATTAATTAACAAAAAACTCAACTTCATTTAAAAATGGGCAAGTGATTTGATTAGACATTTTTCCAGAGGAGATACACAAATTGCTAATTTGCCCTAAAAAAGATACTTAGTATCATTAGCCATTAGAGAAATGCAAATGAAAATCACAATAAGATATCACTTCATAGCCATTAGGATGACTCTCATTATAAAAACAGAAAATAAGGAGCATTGGCAAGGATGTAGATAAATAGGAACTTTTGTAAATTGTTCATGGGAATGTAAAACAGTGTCACTGCTGTGGAAAACAGTTTGGTTGTTTATCAAAAAGTTCAACATGGAGTTCTCATATGATCTATTTACTTCAAGGTGTAGACCCAAAAGAATTGAAAACAGGTACTTGTGCATCAGTGTTTGTAACAGCATTATTCACATTAGCCAAAAGTTGTAAACAACCCAATGTCCATCAGCAAATGAATGCAGAAACAAAATATGGTATATACATACACTGAAATATTATCTCACTTTAAAAATGAATCATGTTCTGAAACATGCTACGAAGTGAATGAATCTTGAAATATTATGATAATAAGGAAATAAGGCAAATACAAAAGATAAATATTGTATCTTATTGTACCACTTATATGAGGTTCCTAGAATAAGTAGACAGAAAGTAGATCAAAGGTTCCCAAGGCCTGGCAATAGAGGCTAATAGGGAGCTAGTGCTTAATGAGTAGAGTTTTAGTTTAGAAAGGTGAAGACTTTCTGAAGATAGATGGTGGTGATGGTTGCA